CTGCCTCGAAAGTGAAAGGTCCCAAGTTCGATCCCAGGTACAACCCCCCCCCAAAAAAAACCAAATTGCTATAGATTGAATCCTTTTGTTGTTACTGTTTCCAAGAAATGAGGTCTTGCTATGTTGCCCTGGCTGGCTTTGGGCTCCTGAGCTCAAGCGATCCTCCTGTACCATCCTCTTTAGTAGCTGGGACTACGGGCATGTGTCACTGCACTCAGTTTAGTTTGGATCATACATGCCCCCCAAAGGCCCGTGTGTGGGGGTTTAGTCCCTAGCCCAGGGCAATACTGGGAGATGAAGAACTTTTAAGAGGTGGGGCCTAGGGCAATGCCTCCAGGTCACTGGGGCTGGGGGTGTTCCCTTGAAGGGGATTGTGGACGGCAGCCCCTTCCTCTTCTGCCTCTGCATGGGTCCACCATGATGTCCTGGCTGTTGCCTTACCACAGGCCCAGAGAAACAAATCCAGTCAGTAAGTGCTGAGGCTCCCAAAACTGTGAGCCAAAATAAGCTTTTTCTCTTTTTAAGTTGATTATCTCAGGTATTTATTATAGGGGTGGAAAGCTGAGTAACACACAAATCCTCCCAAATTTAATGGCTTAAAACAACAATGATTTATTCTTTCTTACAATCTGGTCGGTTGACTGGGCTCAGCTGGGCAGTTGTCTGTCCTGCTTGGTGGTGACTCATTTGGACAATGAGGAAACTCTTGGCTACATCCTGCTGGTGGCTGCACTGAGCTGGGAGGTCCAGGAGGCCTTCTGATCCCTTGGTCTTCCTCCAGTGGCCTCTTTCTCCTCGCATGGTGTCAGCCTAGGCTCCTGTGCAGTATGGGAGCCGCCTCTCCCCACAGAGGAGGCAGAAGCTGCCAGGTCTTTTAAGGGATTGATCCAGAAATGGCAGGACATCGCCTCTGTGGTGTTCTGTGTGCCTCAGGAAGTCACCAAGCCAGCCTGGACTCATGGTGAAGAGGATGAGGGAGACTTCACTTCCTTTTTTTTTTTTAGTACTGGGGATCAAACTTAGAACCTTGCACTTGCAAGGCAGGCGGCGGCACCACTGAGCTAAATCCCTGGCCCCTGGGACTTCACTTCTTGACAAAAGGAGTGGCAAAATGGCATTGCAAAAGACATGTGGGATGGGAGAAACTGCTGCAGTTGCCATTGGGAACTGTCTACTGTATGCTGTCAAACACAGCCACCATTACAAATAATGAAAGCCCAAAGATTAGTTCAAGAGAAGATAATTGAACATACTCAAACAGTACCCTCATTTACTGTTTTGCTAATTGTTTCTCTCTTTCCATCATTGGTCTGAGTTGAGTCTTGAGTTCTTTTTCCTTTTTTAATTCCATAACAGAACTACTGTGAAAGCCTGGAATTAAAGGTGCAAGAAAATTTCATATCTTGTAGCATGGGTATTGTAATGGGTCAGAGAAATATTTGGATAAATTGAAATAAAAAGAAGCTTACAACCTCAAAGTAAAGTTGTAAAGATGTTCTCGGGGTAGCATCTGGCTCATCATACTGGAAAAAATTTTGCTAGTCTTCCTATTTGTAAAAATTTCCAATCCAAGCACAAAGGTGAATAGTTTGCCATGTCATATGTTCAAATGTTCCTACCAATAGGAAATTAAATTTACATACGAAGATGACAGTTTTTCTCATTTAATTACAAAGCATTAGACAATAGGCTAACAGTTGAGTTGAGCAGAAATTAGGAGACAGAACTATTTTTAGCTTTTATTAAAATAAGACAAAGAGGGCCGGGTATTCAGCTCAGTGGTTCCCCCACCTGCCTCGAAAGCGCAAGGTCCCAAGTTCGATCCCTGATACCAAAAAAAAAAAAAAAAGCCAAAGAACATATTAGAATTAAGTTATATATACAGGTATAAAATCACTAAAGTAGTCTATGTGGGTTTTCTTTCTTTCTTTCTTTCTTTTTTCTATGTGGTTTTCTAAATATTTTAAACTAAATTAAAAAACTATTATGTATATTTAACAACTAAAACTATTTTGTAATGAATTGTTTATAGTAGTTTAAATTACCATTATGTTAATTATCAAATGCTTATAACTATACTTTCAAAAGATTTGAAATACTGCTTCTGCACAAATATATTCTAATATCATAAGTAGAGACATAGTATCTTCAACACGACACTATTTAGAGATGGTCAGATAGTAGCAATCAAAATAGAAAACTTAACATTAAAAATACAAACCAAAGGAGCCAGAGATTTAGCTCAGTAGTTCCGCCACCTGGCTCGCAAGTGGAAGGACCCCAGTTCCATCCCTGGTACCAAAAAAAAAATACAAACCATTTATATGCCTATTGGATGCAATTACCAATTTTCAGTTTGATTAAATTATGGCTCTAAATAAAGTTGACTGAGCCCAAAATAAATTGATTGCTGCCTAAGACAAGTATACTTTAGATATACTTATAGAATTTTGTGAAGTTTTCATTTATTAAAATTACTAGTTTTGCTGAAATTTATTAAATGTTCTTTTTCCTAATGACTATCTTAGTATTTCATATCGTGTGTCATTTTTACCTAATTAGGTTAAACATTGATGAATATTACATATTACTATACATTTTAAAAACACAACTGTTTTATTTACATGAGCTAAAATCTAGCTGGTTGTGGTGTTGCACACCTGTAATCCCAGCTATTCAGGAGGCTGAGGCAGAAAGATTGCAAGTTCAAGGCCAGCCTGGCCAATTTAGCAAGCTCCTGTCTTAAAATTTAAAAAAGAAGATGAAAAGAGAGCTGGGGATATAGCTCAGCAGTAGAGCGTTTGCCTAGCACATGCAAGGCCCCAGATTCGGTCTCCAGTATGGCAAAACACAGAAACAAAACAAAACAGGGGCCGGGGATGTAGCTCATTGGCACCACACCTGTCTGGCAAGCACAAGGTCCTGAGTTTGATCCCCAGTACCAGAAAACAAAACACAAAACAGGGCTGGGGATTTAGCTCAGTGGTTCCACTGCCTGCCTCACAAGTTGAAGGACCCGAGTTTGATTCCCGGTACCAAAAAAACCCAAAAAAACAAAACACAAAACAAAACATCTTAGTGAAAATTAGTTTCAAAATCCACCTTCACTGTAATCTTTTCTACTCAGGAGGCTGAGGCATGAGTATTGCAAGTTCAAGGTCATCTTGAGCAATAAAACCAGAACCTGTAGCAAAATAAAAAAAAGACACCGTGCCTGTCTCGCAAGTGCAAGGTCCTGAGTTCAATCCCTGGTACAAAAAAAAAAAAAAAAAAAGAAAGAAAGAAAGAACTAAAGATGTAGCTCAGTGGTCAGAGGACTTGCCTAGCATACATGAGGCCCTGGGTTTAATCTCCAATACTGAAGAAAAGTCACTTTTGTTTATAAAATTTACCCTCAGTTTAACAGTTGTTCGTAAACTATCACTGCCTTGATGGAGCAGATGTAGTGGTATGTTTGTGTTCATGTAGAGACTGAGATGGGAAGAAGAGAGATATCTCCCGGCTAGATCATAAACATAAAAACTTTATCTGGGTGTTATTTACAAAATCCTCTAGAACGCCTCTTCTAGTGGGAGACACACACAAGCTACAAACACTATGTGCTACAGAGAATTAAAAGTGCCCAATGGCAAGGAGTCTGGACTCATCTAGTCGATCTACCTTCTTATTTCACAAGTGAGGAAACAATGGCACAGGACAGACAGATGTATCAAGGATACACAGAGAGTTGCAATTGAGCCTTGACCCTGATTGTCCTAATTCTCAGATCAAATGATCTCTCTTAGTCTCTACTCATTTTAAATACCTTTAGGCTTCTATTAAAACAAGAAGGTAGTTTTAATGATTTTAACCGAAAACAAACACATACCAGAAACACTGATTTGTGTGTGTGTGTGTGTGTGTGTGTGTGCACGCATATGTGCCCGTGTTGTGCCAGTGACAGAACCCCAGGCCTCAGGCATAGTAGGCCCTGTGAATGGCATTTTTTCTTTATATTCTAACTACACGCATTAAAAAAAATCTGTATCTTTACAATTAAACTACTGTAATACCTTACGAGGACTCCTCGGTCTTTCCAAGATACTACTGTCTGTGGAATTTTAGGACCCTTCTTCTTCTGGTGATACAGTCTAATTTTTAAAAAAATTTGGAGTAGGGTAGATTCTGTGCCATTCAAATTGTTCCAAAATCAGGACTGGAAATCACTGCGGGGACAAATGACCAAGAAAGTGTTTGAAAAACTGTAATTCTATGGCAAGGAAGCCAAAGAGGCATAAAACATCTTAATATACCTTGATAAAATTTCAAAATAACTCAGCAATGTTCATACGCCTTGTAATTGGGAAATCTAGGAATGAAGAACAATGACAGACCTAACTCAGAAGGAGGAAAATCTTTCTGCTTCAACCCTGTATTGCCTAACTGAACGCTTTCCTTTCATCTTTCCTCAATTATCTCCCTAACTGCAAGGATTTGAAAGCCCCTTGATCACAACTTTTTAAAATGATTCAGTGTACTTAAATTAATCTTCAAAAAATGACCTGCTAAAAGGGCTTGGTGGTTGGGGCAAGTTGGAACAATTACATAAAGTATTTCCAGAATTGAACAGAGATTAAAGACAGCCCAAACACCTAGGCTTCCGGGTCTGAGAAGTCTAAATAATGTCCTTCTCCATTGTACTCTGAGAATGTGCAATGCCTGCATTTTTAATTAAAATGGCACACAAAAACACACACACACATACCCCTACACACCCACAGACACATCAGCAGCAGCAGCAGCCGCCCAGTTTTCAGGCTCTCAAGCACATGTGTTACAGAAAGTCTGGGGAAACCAAGAGTGGGAAGAGGTTGTGCAGTGGTAGAGCACAGAGGAGCATTGAGGGAGCATCGCTCACCATGACGGTGCAGTATTTGGACAGTAATAAGTCAAAAGGCTTGGCAGCTGGCAGGGGTGAGACAAGACCCAGGTGAGCCAGTTGCTGCACAAGGGTGTCATGGAATCCACTGGGCTTCTGGGAAGCACCCGGGGTAAGGCTGCTAGCTGAAGACAGGTTTCAGGAAACGCGTGACCGAAGGTGAGTAAGAGATCCTGAAGCGAAACTGCCCCCGACAGGGCTGAAGAGGAAATTTGGTCAGCAAGGTGGGGAGAAATCTGCACTTAGAAGAGTGCCAGGATCCTCTGCCACAAAACCAAACAGACCAACCAGAAGGCTTGGGGGTTTTGCTCCCCAGCCACACAGGTAACAGCTTTGCTATTTGGCCTGGCTCACCTAGGAACAAATATACCAGCAAATGCCATCAGATTAATTTCCTCTTGTGGTAATATGACACTATGACCACATTAGAACACTTCTTTTTTTTTTTTTTTTTTTGGTACTGGGGATCAAACTCAGGACCTTGTATTTGCAAGGCAGGCGGCGGAACCACTGAGCTAAATCCCCGGCC